CTGAGAGCAATAAATAAAATCATCCAGCAAATGGGCTCTTTACAGCCTAGAAGTCAATTGCCTTCCTTGTTACCTAATAAAGTGGCCTATTATAGTGATTGATTTAAAAGATTGCTTTTTCACAGTCCCTTTGCATGTGCATGACAGGGAAAGGTTTGCTTGCTCAATGCCTATTTATAAAAATTGCAAGGCTGTTAAAAGATATCACGGGAGGATCTTGCCATAAGGATTGTTAAACAGTCCTACGTTATGACAATATTTTGCACAACAGCTATTAGGTATAATTCATAAGTAGTTTCCTCAATCCATAATTTACCATCATAGGAATCATATTTTGGTGGCTGATTAAGTTGCAAATACCTTAGGAAAGTTATTTGATGAAGTAAAGAGAATTTTGTCTTGCTGGGGATTACAGATTGCTCCTGAAAAACTAAAAAGATTCTATTAATTATCTAAAGTATAAGATGGTTCTGCAAAAGAGTTAACCACAGAAAATACAAATCAGGAGAGACCAGTTACGAACTCTTAGTGTTTTTCAAAGCTTGCTAGAAGATATTAATTGGCTAAGGCTTGCAATTAGATCAACTACTCAAGAGGTAAGCAATTTATCTCAAACCTTATAAAGACTTAAAGAGTTCAAGTTCAAAATTATTAGCTGAGGCTGACAGAGAATTGACTCTGGTAGAAAAAAAATTACAAGATTCACACATGGACCGTTTAGATCCAAAAATAGCTTGTATTTTAGTTATTTTGTCTTCTACTCGTTCTCCCTGTTAGGAATTGGTTCTAATGCTTTGTCTTAATTCTGCCCTCAAAATTGGGAATCTGCATGTCCAAACGCTGAAGGTACCTGCAGGGGGTACAGAGCCTAACGTATCTCAGACAGTAGAAACTTAGGCCTTGATCTCACTATTAAAAATTAATTGTGTAAAAAACAGCAGCAACAACAAAAAAAGCAGGAGATTGTGGAGGAGCACTATCTCAATAAATAATATTTTTTAGATTGTTTTAATTGCTGTGAGTTGTTTTAATTATCAAAATGAAGATGACTATAAGTTTGGTGGTATTTATGATATTAAAATTCATCTGGGAGAGAGGTCAAGCTATACCTTTAATAATTTCCAATTACTGGGCCAAAGACATGTTATTTTGGGAGAGAGACTCTGTATTTGTGTTGACAGGAAAGGAGAAAAGGCTTTGGACCCCTTCTAGAGTGATATAGATCATATATGACAGGGGAAGACCCCCCTGGCTCTTGGCTACAGTCTGCAGTTAAAGCAAGGGCAGCTTTTGCCCAGTGGCAGCTTGCTACATTTGAAGCAAACTCAGTAAGGAGGTTTTCTGATGCTCATCATCTTTGAAGTAGAAATGGGAGTACTCCCAGGGGCAGACCCGTCTCATTGTCCAAAAAGAAGCTTAAATTGATAAGACATCTTTAAGTGCCATTTTCTAAAGTGGAAATTTCTGGTTTCTTTTTTCTTTCTTTCTTTCTTTTTTTTTTTTTTTTCAGTTTTTCGAGACAGGGTTTCTCTGTATATCTCTGGCTGTCCTGGAACTCACTCTGTAGACCAGGCTGACCTCAAACTCAGAAATCTGCCTGCCTCTGCCTCCCAAGTGCTGGGATTAAAGGTGTGTGCCACCACTGCCCGGCAATTTCTGGTTTCTTAACAACTTAGTTGTGTCATGTGATGTTTTTCTGGAAGCTGAAATTTCTGGTTTCGTTGGAGACTCAGTTATGTCATATGATGTTTTGCTGAAGCAGACATGGTGAAAGGATGTTTTGCTGAAGCAGATACAGGTGAAAGGATAGCTTGCTGAAGCAAAGAACACATGATGTTTAGAAAGAATATAACTATGGCCCCAAGCCAGTGGAAAGAGGCTCTGGCATTGATTCTGTTGAGGCTTGGTCTGTTGCTCTGTATTGTAATGCTAAACTCTATACCAGAAGGTAGAGGCCTGTGAGCACTGTAACACTTGGGAAGTGCCTGAGGTGCTGGCTGTGCCCTTTGCTGTAGCCCAGGAAGTGCACTGAGAAATTTCTATCTGAGAGAGGCCTTCCCATGCCTTTTTGGCTACTGGCTATGCGTGGTTGTTAGGAGGTTTTTGTTGTTGGTGGTGGTGATGGTGGTGGTTTTTGTTTCTTTAACAGCTGCATTTCTTAGCCTCTTAGTATTAAACTGACATAGCTAGAGCTAGAAGCTGTTTTGTTTTGGGGAGAGGGTTGGTGCTTCCACTCAGTAACTATTCTCAGGTTGCTTGGGTTCTGTGCCCCACATAAGATGCTCCAGATATAAATTATTAAACTATTTCTATTACCATCTTGCTTTCAAATTAATGAAACTCAGACTATGATTTATTTATATAGCTTTTGTGCAGTTACTGGGGGATTACCCCTAATCTATTCCTATATGCTAGACTGTCTACTTCCCCAGCTGTACTCCCCAAATACTTGCCACTTGTGACTTCCTGGGCTATTTCTGTTCCATCAGCCTGTTCTGTTCTAATGCTTTGATTCTGTTGGGAATCTGCATTCCAGATGCTAAAGGTCCATGTCTCCATTTGTTTTTTGATAGATCAACAAATGCCAGCGTCCAATGGCTGGGCAAAGAGAGACACATCGAGACCCTTAGAGTTGCGAAGGCTAGGATGAAGGGGAAAGAAGAAGAAATCATTCCGATTGGGCGTAGGGTAACAGGCAGAGGATTAGAAGTTCCCATCCTTTGAGTAGCCAAGGCATTTTAAAATTAGCTGGTGTGTGTGTGTGTGTGTGTGTGTGTCCCATTCAAGAATCCAGATAGCTCCTGGGCAGGTGGGTGGGTGCGTGTGTGTCATTTTCCAGGAGCCAGAATGGTATAGCCCAAACTCAATGCTGTACTATCCTCAGGGTCCATTTTACTTGGTCACATGCTCCGGATCCATTACTTCTAATGGAGACCTCCTGTTCTGTCTTCTTCCTCCTTCCTTCTCCTTCCCTCTTCTTCTTCATCAGCCCTACTTGCCTAGTAACTCAAACTCTTGTCTACTTTCATTCACCTCAGTAATTGGCTGGAGCCATTTTCATTCAACCAATAATTCATGTATGTAAGATCTTGGCAGCCAGTATTTAGCATTTGAATACATAGCAGCACTGGACCAACACTTAGGCATTAATTCATAAATAAATAAGCCTCCATGTCATTATCTGGGCACTGGGGCAGGCATAGAAAATTCCAAATGGTTACAAAAAGAATAGGAAGAAAATGATTTTCAGGGCTCAAACAAGAAAAAAAAAAAGTCTGGTCCATGTCTTTAATCCCAGCACTCCCAAGGTAGAGGTGTATCTCTGTGATAGATCATAGGTAGGTAATTCACAGGTGGATCTTTGTGAGTTCAAGGCTAGCCTGGTCTATGTAGTGAATTCAGGCCAGCGAGGGCTACACAGTAAGAACTTGTCAAGAAAGGAGAGAGGAGGTAGGAGATAGGAGAAAGGAGAGGGGAGGTATGTGCCTGTCTTTGGTTACTTTGTGGGTTTGTCTTTCTTTTACCCTCTCTATCCTTTCAACCCCCTAACACTAAATAGGATAGAGGACAAGTTAGACCACTTCCTGCAGGTTATGGGAATCGAATTCCTTGGGGCAAGTTTGATCTTCGATGTCAGAATATCTAAAATCTTCTTTTTCTTTCTTCTTTGCACATGACTACTTAACAAACTGTGATCAACCATGACCAACAGCAACCAACCAACATTAGCATTTATATACCCTCTGAAAAGTTCCCAGAATTCCAAACATAACACTTTCGCACCCTGCTAGAGCACAAAGCAAATCATAGTCAGCTGCTGTGGAAAATCTGAAGCAGCCCATATCCCACACCTGGAATTAAAACAAAAACATATTCTTATAATATTTCTGTATTTTTTAAAGAAATAAAATTGCCAAAATTGGGGCTGGTGAGACGGTTCAGTGGTTAAGAGCACTGACTGTTCTTCCAGAGGTCCTGAGTTCAATTCCCAGCAACCACATGGTGGCTCACAACCATCTGTAACGGGATCTGATGCCCTCTTCTGGTGTGTCTGAAGACAGCTACAGCGAACTCACATACATGAAATAAATAAAATAAATCTTAAAAAAAAAAAAAGGTGTGTGCTAAGGCTGAACTACATCGCAACTAAAAAAAAAAAAAAAAAAAAAAAAAAAACAGCCAAAATTGTCACCATGAGAAAGAGAGATCCATTTTTACCTTAGAACTTTACATGTCTCTTGTTCCTGAGATTAACTACTCCTTATCGTTCCTGAATCAAACACACCTGAATCTTATTTATTTAGACAAGATTTTGCTGTTCTGTAGCTCCAACTGGCCTGGAATTCACTATGTACCATAGGCTGACCTCAAAGACAGGGCAATTCCCCAGTGGCAGCCTCCTGAGTGCTAGAATTACAGCTGTGGGTCGCTGGAACTTCAGTCTTTCCCATTTATACTGCTTCTTTGCTTTTCTCTCTTGGAACATCTTTGTTTTCTCTTCACTGTCTTACCATGGATGGTAAATATATATTTGCAGTTATCTGTTTAGTGTCTTTTCTAGATTATAAATTCCAAGAGGGCAGAGGTAAGTTAGTCCTGTTAAGGCGAAACAGTTGCTTCCCTTAACTCCATCCACCCTCTTAAGTGTCCAGCATCAGATTTCTGCTCCTTCGGTATTTGTGTTTTTAATGTGACGATTGAAAACTCTGCCTCGTTTTTTATGAATAACTTTAATTTCTAATTAAATCCAGATGTGGGTTTTTAAGCACATTAGCTATTTCAGCCCACTGGTGTTCTTCAAGTAGGCTTTCCTACTCTTCACCTGGTACCTGGTAGTTTCTACTCAGGTTACCTGTATTCCTGGCAGGATCCTTAACAATCACAGACAAATAAAGAGGATTGTGACTTGGACACTAGGTTAATTCACGTTTCTGCCTTCAGGCTGGAAACTGACAGGGTGGCTCAATAGCTCATTCAAGACAACCCCTGCGAGTCCTTGGCCCAGCCTTGACCAACAGGCTGGAGCAACGCTGCTCGAACCTTCCGTACAACATGGCGGCTCCCAAGGCCGAGGCACAGGAGACAGTCTTCCGTACAACAGGGCCGCCCACAGACTCGGAGCCGCGCCCCTTCCCGCCCAGCTCCCGGAAGTTTCCTTTTGAAAGCGCGGCGGCCGACTCTACGGAGGACTGGGCAGTTGCTGCGGAGCATCTTTTGAAAGGAAGCGGAGAGGACTCCGAATTGGAGCACCTGGCACCGGGGTTCGGCTCTGCGGGCCCGAGGCTGGGCTGTGTGCGGGCAGAAGGACGGGCGGGCTGGCGTGGCGGGGCTCCGGCGCTGCTAATATCCGCCTTGCACTTCCAGGGTCCAGCCAAGCCACCTGGCTACGATGGCCAGTGCTAAGACGGTATGCGACGCGCAGCCCCACTCGATGCCTAGCTGCGCCTTGCCCGCAGGTGAGTGTACACACCGCTACCAGCCGGGGCTCTGTGGACTATGCTAGGAGTAAGAGGGTCGAAATCTGTATGTCGGGGCGGCGTTCGGTTAGCTCTGACATCCTCCTGCTCCTCACCCCCAACTAGGCTGTGTAAGAAAGTCCAGTCCCTCTTCCTACTCCTAACCCAGCCCCCTTCTGCGTTTACCAGTTAGATCCAAACTGTTGGTTGTTGTTTTTGAATAGCTTTGTGTGCGTGTGTGTGTGTGTGTGTGTGTGTGTGTTGTAGTGGTAGTGGGGAATACAGCACAGGCTTGCCTGCAACACACAGAGATCTTGCCTCTGCCTCCTGAGTGCTTATGTCACTTGTGTCACTTGTGTCACTATGCCCCAGTGCCTGGCCTCACTCCTCTCCCCAGCCTCCTTTTTTTTAAAGCTCGGTTTCACTCTGTAGCCCTGTGTAACATTAGCTTTCAGCAATATTCCTACTTCAGCTCCGGAATGCTGAAATTACAGGCTCACTGCCACCACACTTGCCTCTCTAGAACCCTATTTTTTAATTTTTTTTTTTAAATTATGTGTGTGGTGCAGGGGAGGCTTGTGCTTATAAGCATAGGTGCCCAAGGAGGGCCAGGAGTCTTGAACCCCTGCAGCTGGAGTTACAGGCAGTTGTGAGCCATCTGATAATGGAGCCGGGAACAAAACTCCAGTCCTCTGGAAGAGTAATTTTCCCTTTTAACCTCTGAGCCATCTCTCTAACCCTAGAGACCGCTTTTTTATGCAGTTATCCTTTTTATTTCCAGGTTAGGACTGGTTGTTTTGCAGGTGTGGGTTGTCAGAGAAGAAAATCGACTGAGAAGTGGGATAGTGGGGAGAAAGCTCCAGGATTCCTTGTTCACATTAACAGGTGAACAGTGGCTCTCCCGAGCAAACCATCAATATGTGTTGAGTGGAATCAGAAGTGCCCGGCCCAGACAGAGTTACAGAGACCCTTGACAGGAGAGAGAGGCGTGACTGAAAACAATTTGTAGTTGCTTTTCTGTCTTGGTCTGTGCTGGTTTTCTCGTGGTTGAAAGTCATCAGGTGAGGTCTGTAGTGGTTGTACTGCCCAATGTGGAGATTATAGCATAGAAGATGGTTCTGGCATTGGGCAGGTGTTAGGAGGGATTTTGGAGCAGCCTTTTACAATTCCTTTCCAGATGATTTCATGCAGCTGATTGGAGAACAGTAGCAGGTAGGATTGGCCTCTGAAGTGAAATAAAACAGCCTTTTTTCTACCAGGCTTAAAGGGTTGTTAGTCTCCGTGCCCTGGTTCCTTCCAAACATCCTAGTGTCATCAGCAGAAGCATTGTTTAAGGAGTGGAGCCAGGGCTCTGCAGAGAGACCTCTGCTGTTGCTTCCTCGCCCCCTTCCTCACAGTGCCCTGGATAGCTGGCAGGGACCAGCCTTCCTAACCAAACCCAAGTTTTCATCTCTCTGCTTGCAATCCCTGTCCCAGCTTCATGGTTGCATGTACTGCAACAGCTGTAACGTTTTTAGGTGGTTTCCACCTACAAAGGAAAAGCAAAGGTAGGGAGTGAAGGTGGGTGTGGTGCATACCTGTCATCCCAGCTCTCTAGATACCCAGCAAAGAGGATGCACCAGGCCAACTTGGTCAATGTAGTGAGTTGCAGGCCAGGCTTATACCGCAAGCCCCTGGGGGGAGGGGCGTGAATAAACAAGTTTGACAAACTTTCTTCTCTTTTCACCAGCCGTCCTGTTCTCCTTAGAAGACCACCTTAAGTTATGCTAACGATTTTCCCTACAGTACAGGCCTCAGGGTTCAGCAGATTGTTGGAGTTGATTGCAATTAAAGAATTTTGTTTTCAATTTATTATGAGCTGTTATTACGTGGACTAGATGTATTATTGTATTTAACTTACTACTACTTGAGTTAAGATATCACAAAATAACTTCTTTGTTCGGATACCTTCAAAGAACCCATATAATAATTGCATAGTGTTAGGAATAGTGAAACTAAAGTTGTAATGTCCTGTAAATTGTAGCTATAAACAATGTGTTAAGTTGAGGAACTGTGTTTACTCCAAATTAATGTGCAGCAGGTTTTTTGAATAAAATTTTTATTAAATACAAAGTGCTCTACTACAATGTTATTCAGAATTTTATATCTCATCTCTTCAACTTAATTATTTAATTATTATGCCTTTTAACCTACATCCAGCTTAAGGAGCCATTTTACAGTGAAGCAAGTGGAGTTAGTATAATCTAAAACCTTCTGAAATAGAACATCTTAGGGGTTGAGGCCTGACAGGTATATGACATGTAAATGTTAAACCATGTATGTGGGCGTGGGTTACCCGGTCTGGGCCTGTAAGGAGATCAGCAGGAGGGCCAAGTGGTAACCCCATAACAAGGGATCAATAAAGGACAAGAACTCTTCCTGGAAGAGGAGAGGAAAGAGTTTATATGTACAGGGCAGTGAAGCAGACTGCAGTGGACATATTCCCTCTATTCCACTTGTGGCTGATTCCTGAACTCTGGTCATATACCTGATATTTCTCTAGCCGCCAGGACATGGAGATGTCTCAAAGTGGTTGGGAAGACATTTTGGTGAAAGTAGGCGACACTTCAGATGTCTGGGGAGAACGGATGTGAGACCCTTGAGAAGGGCAGTTCCAGCTGCGCTTTTCCTTCTGCCTCCATAGTCCTGTAGCCATAGCCTGTCCAGTTTGGTGTATCAGGCACATGGAGCTATCCTTGCAATGAACTTTGAAGCTGTATGTGTTGGTGCACACCTTGTTGCAGGATACTTGATCACATTGTGACAACTGCGATTGTGAGCTGGAAAACCCTGTTTCTTGTGGCTCAGCCCTAACACACACACACACACACACACACACAAACACACAGACGTTTAACCCAAGAGCTTTCTGTAAACAAGAGTTAATTGAAGTCAATGACAGATCAAGAGGTGGAGCAACAATCAGCTGACAGGGAATGAGCCTAAGAAAACCCCGGAAAGAGAAGGGAGGGTCTGTGAGTTGAAGGGGGTTTAGGACAGCATGGAGGAGGAGAAGGAACTTTTCCCTCGAGGACATCAGTGGAGTAGGAAGGTCAGCTGGATGCTTTCTCTGCCTCTCTGAGCAGGCTTTCACAGTGACTGCCTCCTGGGTCCTCATAGGTAAGTCAAACACTGGGGATTTTGTTTTATAAACAATACACCTACAAACCCAGCATTTGGAGGTAAAGTCAAGAGCAGCCTCTACATTTTTGAAGCAAATCAGTGTAGAAACTTTCTTTGGAAACAACCTCTATACCTATACTAATATTGGACAGTATGTAAGTGAGGGCTTATAGTAGCTCAGAGTGGGCTCTGCGTGGCAGTGAGGAAGCTGATGGCTCATGCTGTGGTTTCACTCCCATTTTCCCTTTCAGATACACAAACTCGAGCTACTTCTAAACTACCTGTTAAATCCAAAGAAGCTGATATGCTGAGACATTATCCAGGAGGTTCAGAGCCTGATGTTACAAAAGTCACCAAGCCAAGACGAGAGAATGGGTAAGAGCAGGTCGCTGACGTCCGGTTATGACACCTTTGAGAGCCCGAGTGCTTGCCCTGAGTGTTCAAGGGCCTGGGTTGACTGTCCCAGCAGAGAGGTGGAGGGATGAGGTGAAATACTGACTTTTCTAGAAATTGCTGAGCACCAGAAATATTTCAATAGAGATTGAAGAGATGGCTTAGCAGTTCTGACTTTGAGAAGACCCTGATTATGTTCCTAGCACCAGCATGGTAACTCAAATCTATCTCAAATCTAACCTAGTTCCAGGAGACCTCTATGCGTTCCAGGCACACATTTGATGCATATATATGTGTGTGATACATATCACACACACATAGGAAAGACACGCATCCACGTAAAATAATCTGGCCAAACAGTCATAGCCTAAAAGCTGAGGCTAACTGAAGCCTTATTCACAGGCCCGAGCAGGGTGCAGCTCCAGGATATCTGACTCTAGGCAGTGATCCTCTCCCAGGTGACTGTGGCTGACATAAGATTTCTGTAACATCGGAAGCAAGCTCAGGTGTGTCCCGTTGTTGGAGGTGAAACCAGCATGCGTGGACTCAGCTCTCAGCCTGTTTACTGGGATGTACTCGTTGGTTCTTTCCTCAGAAACTCAACTCTCTTAAGTCAGGTGTGATAGCATGAACCTGCAGTCCCAGAATTGAGGAGGCCGAGACAGGAGGATTGGGATTTCAAACCCTGTCTCAAAACAGCAAAAAGCCAAGCCCCTATTTGCACCTTATTTGTAGCACCAAGTACTGTGGTTCTCTGATGAGCTTTGATTCTGCTTCCATAGGCAGGTAAAAGCTGCAGAGCCGGCCAGCAGAAGGACCATCAGAAACAGGTGAGCGTGGAGTAGACTGAGGGTGGAGGCTTACCGTTGTGGATGTAGATGGCAGTCACGTTAGGCTTGTGTGATGTGTCTAAGTCTGGGTACCATGCCATGTACCTGAGTGGACTTTTGGGATTAAGACAGCACCACCATCAGGGGAAGGATCAGTGGTGCCATCATCTTGAGCAGTAGTCCTGGCAGGAAGCCAAAAAGCTTTTTTTAAGACATAATTTTTGAAATTTTTACCTGTATATGTGTGCGTGTAAGTGCAGATGCCTGGAAAGAATCAGACGTCCACTGAAGCTGGAATCACAGGCAGTTATGCTGCCTGATATTGAGTGCTAGGAACTGGACCTGGGTCCTCTGGAAAAGCAGTGCATGCTTTTTAACCACTGAGCCATCTCAGCAGCCCCCATAACCGGAAAAAGCTTCTTTGTAGATGTGTTGGATTATGCCTGCAATAGAAGTGCTTAGGAGACTGAGGGAGGATTCCCACAAGTTCAGGGCCATCCTAGGCTACATTTTAGGCCAACTAGGGTTGTAGGGTATGTTGGCTAGTCTTATTACAAGTCACTGGAGAAGAGGGACCCTCAACTCAGAAAATGCCTCCATAAGATTGAGCTACAGACAAGCCTGTAGGGCATTTTCTTAATTAAAGATTAATGAGGGAGGGCCCAGCCCCTTGTGGATGAGGCCATCCCAGGACTGGTAGTCCTGGGTTCTATAAGAAAGCAGGCAGAGCAAGCTATGTGTAGCAAGTCAGTAAGCCGCACCCCTCCATGGCCTCTTCATCAGCTCCTGCCTACAGGTTCCTGCCCCATGTGAGTCCTGTCCTGACTTCCTTCAGTGATAGACAGGGTCTTAGTTAGGGTTTCATTACTGTGAAGAAACGCCATGACCAAGGCAACTCTTATAGGGACATCATTTAATTGGGGCTGGCTTACAGGTTCAGAGGTCTAGTCTATTATCATCAAGGTGGGAGCTTGGCAGTGTCCAGGCAGGCATGGTGCTGTAGTTGCCGAGAGTTCTACATCTTGTTCCAAAGGCAGACAGACAGGCTGGCTTCCAGACAGCTAGGAAGGTCTCAAAACCCACTCCTACAGTGACACATTTCCTCTAACAAGGCCACACATCCTAAGAGTGCCACTCCCTGGGCCAAGCATATTCAAACCACCACAAACAATGATCTGAAAACACAATCCAAATAAAATCTTTCCTTCCCAAGGTGGTGTTTGTTTGTTTGTTTGTTTGTTTGTTTGTTTTGGTCACAGTGTTCCATTACAGCAGTAGAAACCCTATTTTAAAAATATACTCTCCCCCACAAAAAGAAAAAACAATTTTGGGGCTGGGGGATGGTTCGGTGGGTAAGATGCTTGCTATGCAAGTGTAAAGACCTGGGTTAGAATCCTGGACCCTTGTAAAACTGAGCATGGCCAACCTGCCTGTAACTCCAGAACTAGGAGGGGGGAAGCAGGTAGATTCTAGGAACTTACTGGTTGGTGAGCTTCGGATGCAGGAGGACATCCTGTCTCAAGGGAGTGAAATGGAGAGCAATAGGAACGATCTCTGAGGTCCTGCTCTGGCCTCCACACGCGCCTGCACATAGAAGCACCATACACACGTACACACGTCTTTGAAAACTCAGGGCATTCAAAGTGAAGGCTTAATGTTAAGGATGACAGGTAATGATTACATGTTGCCATGTGTCAACAGACAGGTTAAGCATCGTCCATGGATTCTCTTTTATTTGTAGTAATATAAAATGTGGAGGTATTGTCTTAAGTCTAGAAATGAGGAAAGAGCTTCAGGTTACAGACCACTGTCAGGAAGTCAGGATTGGAACCCGTTTGAAGAGCTCAGTAGCATGTGCTCCTAAACGTGGCACCTGTTCATATTACCACAACTTTTATTTTAGCTACAAACCATTTAATAAGCAAAAACCGGAGGAGGAACTGAAGGATAAGAACGAGCTGCTGGAGGCCGTCAACAAGCAGTTACACCAGAAGCTGACAGAGACTCAGGTAAGACGCCCGCCTGGTTCTGACTCGTCAGCTGCCTCCAGTGATGCAGGTGAACGTCTGGGTGCAACCAAATTGACCACTGCAGACAGAAGAGAAGCAGCTCCTGCTGTGGTTCACCCAGAGTACAGGCAGGAGAGACCTACCACTTGTAAGACAGCTACTGATTTGTCGGTTTGCCACTCCGTAGGGAGAGCTGAAGGACCTGACACAGAAAGTGGAGCTACTGGAGAAGTTTCAGGATAACTGCTTAGCAATTTTGGAGAGCAAAGGTCTCAACCCAGGTAAGAGACAGCACACAGGTTGATGTTGACCGCATGGGATCTGTGTCACGTGAGTGAAGGAGCTGCTTAGCCAAGCCCTAAAGGCTTGTCAGTGTTTCTTAATGCTCTGACGTGTGATGGCTATTCTTGTTTGTCAACTTGATTACATCTGGAATGAACTAAAATCCAGAAATGGAGGGCACACCTGTGATCCACATCTTGAGGCTGGAAGACAGTTTTCTGACCTGGATCTTGACATGGAGATCGTGAGGCATAGCAGCCACAAAAGTCTTAGGTCCAGGCAAGGTTTTAATCCCAGGAGACTGAGGCAATCGGATCTCTTGAGTTCAAGGTCAGCCTAGGACAAACCAAGTTTTAGATACAGGCGTGGTAGTACACACCTTAATCTGGGCCACACCTTCTGCTGGAGGTCTACACAGGGACATTGGAAGAAGGAAGTTTCAGTCTTCTTGGAGTGCTTGCACTACTTGCCAGCACATCTGTTCTACAGAAGACCAGTTGAAACACCTAGCCTCGTAGGACTGAGCAACTACTAGATTCTTGGACTTCCCATTCACAGCTGCCCATTGTTGGGTTAGTTGGACTACAGACTATAAGTCATTACAATAAATTCCCTAAATATATAGACATTCCCTAAATTCTGTGACTAGAGAACCCTAAGACATGAGGAAATGTTCATTTCTACCTGACTAATAGAATAGGACATGACTGTAGAAAGACACTTCATTCTTAGCTAAACACTGTTTTCTTCATTCAATGTCAGCAGCTGTCAGCTTGCAAAGAGGCCAGTGCATTGTATTTCTTTCCAGGGTGGTAGATCTTAGAATGTAACTTGCTCAGGTGACAGGAGGGAGAATTCTGTCTCAACAGTTCCTAAGTTGGCTTTATCCCAGTGCCTGCAATGGGACTCCTGGGTAGGGTATAGCTCAGTGGTGGAACATCTGTTTAGGATGTGTTCTTGAGATTCTGGGTCCTATTCCCAATACTGCACCCCCAGGAAGAGAATAACCTCAGGCTGGACTGAAGAGCCAGAGACTGCCCAAGAATGGGACTTTGACCTCTTTCAATTAAGGAATGCTGACTCTGTACTGGAGATGGAACCCAGGGCCTGCCACATGCTAATGTTTATTAAACCCACAGATATAATTTTAGGGTAGTATTTGGGGGAGTTTTTTGTTTCTCATTTTTTAAAGACTTTATGTGAATGTTTTGCCTACGTGTGTGTGTGTGTACCCCATGTATACCCCATGTATACCTGGTGCCCTCAGAGTCCAGAAGAAGGTATTAAATCCCCTGGTACTAAAATAGTTTTTGTGGGGAGGTAGGATTTGAGACAAGTTTTTGTTAGGTAACCCAGGCAGACTTTGAACTTTGGATTTTACTGCTTCAGCCTCCTAGGTGCTGGAATTAAAAAGAGAGGGGAGTGCTACTCCTAGCCTACTGTTTTTAAGGCGCACATACACTGATATTATCTTAGCCACGATTGCTGTGATATTATCTTATTCTATTGCTGTGAAGAGACACTGTGACTAAGGCAACTCATAAAAGGAAGCATTTAATTTGGGAGCTTACTTACAGTTTCAGAGGCTAAGGCCTCATCACGATCAGAAGCATGATGACATTCAGCCAGGCACCAGAACAGTAGCTGAGAGATATGTCCTGATCTGGAGGAAGTGAGAAGGGAGGGATAAAAGGGAGAGGTAGGGGGTGGGAGCAGAGAGGGAGAGAGGGAGAGGGACTATGTCTTGGCATGGACTTTTGAATCCTCAGAGTCCACTCCAGTGACACACCTCCTCAAATAGTGCCACTTCTGGTAACTAAGCATTCAGATATATGAGCCTATGCTGGCCATTTTCATTCAAACCATCAAAGTTACCAAAGGTAATGACTTTCAAGGTCTGAAATATTTTTTAAGTAGTTTTGTGTATTGTAAGCAAAATGAAAACCAACACATGGATTTCCTGTAGACAAAGTTTCTCCAAAAAGAAGCTGAGCAAAATAGACTCTTGTCAATCCATCTTCATCCTTCTGGCCCAGAATATCTGGCAGACTTTTCTGTGAAGCAGGAAATACAAAGGATTGTTTACCTGTCTTGGCAAAGCTAGGCAGTCAACTTCCCTGTGCCTCATTTGTCCAGTTTGGACAGCATGCTGTTAGCAGTTGAAGCAAGGACAGTTTCTTGTCTAGTGGCTAGCTTGCTACATATGCAGCAAAGTCCATAGGGACATTCTTTAATGCTTATCGTCTTCCCTGAAGTAGAAATGGGGGTGCTGCCAGGAGTAGACCTGTCTTACTGTTGTCTTTAAAGCCATATTCTCTGGATCTCTGAGGTTTTTGAAGACCATCTATGTAAAAGCAACTTTTATCCTCCTGTAAGTAATTGTTGTCTCTGAAGATTATTGCCTCTGTCTGCTAACCTCTGCCTAGTCCTGCAAGCTTCTAGCCTCTGTGTGACCTTATCTAGGCTTAGAATGTTTTCAGCCTCTGAGACTTACTGCTGAATAAGCTCACCCTTTCTAGTTCTTTCTGAATTTTTGATGGCTTATCAACTCAGTAGTTTTGGCTCAAACTCCTCTCAAAGCTGACTGACTCAATCTGGCTTCTTTCACCTTCTCCTGAATTGCTCTGTTTGACCTCAAACTTACTCTGGCAGTCTGTTCTAAAGTTCTGGCTCCTTGTCATTCTCTGGCTCGTTCTGTCTTCAACAGTATCTAGCTTGTTCTCTTTCTCTTCCTCCCTCTTCCTCTCTCCCTCTCCTTCTCTCCCTCTCCCTCCCTCCCTTTCTCCCTCCCTCTCTGCCTCTCTCTGCAACCTGTCTCTGTACAGCTGTCCCAGTAAAACTGCCTCCTTTCTGTCTCTGCACTGCCCCAAGTAGCTTCCCTTTCCTCTCTCTCCTCATGAGAGTTAGACATATCCTATTCCATCAAATCTTTCTCTGATTCATCGATTTGTCTGCCAGTCAATTAGACATCACTTTCAAACATGGGTGCTTCCTTCTACAAATTAACTTGACCTTGAATGTTTGAGATTAAAACTGTGGGCATGTTTATATTCCAGTCAAAGAGATTAAATGTGTGTTCTAAGGCTGAGCCACACCACAACTAAAAACAGGCTTTCCCAGTAAATAACACAATCTTGGGATTCACGGTGTGATCAGATATTCTGTAACACTTCTTAAACAAGAATTGAAATGCATGTACATAGTATGTTGTAACAAATATACTAATCTGTATCAATATACAAAGATCTATACCAATGCATGATGCAGTAAATGTTATTTGGGGTTTTACTTCACCTTTAGTCATTTAGTTCCCAAATAAAAGACAAAATTTTTATATTTATAATAAGCCTTAAAGCATTAGAGCTGGGTAGGTATCAACCCTTTATGCTATTTTGTCTACTTCTCTGTCAATAATCCCAAGATATCATTTGCCATGTTCTTCCTGGGCTACTCTAACAGGCTGGCCCTCATGGCCTTGAACTCATAGTCCACCTACCCCATGGCACCTTCTTCCTTTTCCTCCCCTCTCCTTCATGGTCTCTGCCCTAGACCCCAAGCTTGGGAACCAAAGTCCTGCCTACCTCTCTTCTGCAAAACCTCAGTCATCTTTACTCAACCAATAGTTTTAAATTTAAGAGTAAGGTTTGCACAGCAGAAGCTGTCGTATGTGAGAATTCACTCATCTTGAGGCAACTAGACCTTGGAATACAGAATTTAGCATTATAATGCATAGCAACAGACTAAACCTCAATGAATGTAACCAAATATAGCCTTAAATTTGTATCAACATACAAAGATCTGTGGGCTGTGGGCTATAAGAGGAAGCTGAATAACGTCAAGCTAAGGCTAGAAGCCCCAGAGACCCTGAAGGGTCAGTAGAAGCTTCGTCTGCTCCCAGCACCAGGCCCCTGTCACGCGTAGCCACAGCCCCCCCCCCCCCCAAAGAGATTTATAGCCATCAGTCACACAGGGGCAATATCATAAACCTGTCCATATGTAGATGAGGCATCCCTAACATCTGGAATCAAGCCATTAGGAAGCACCTATCAGACCCCAACCCACCCCAAAACTGTATATAAGCTCCTATCCAGAAGAAATAAAGGTGTGTGAGAATTACTCTGTCATCTGAGAGTGTCTGTCATAAGAGCTATAACGCCACCAGGGAAGAGAACTGTTCTCCAGCAGCTCCCCTGTACTACCCTTGCTGACTGCCAGTCTTCCCCCAGCCCAGCCTGGCTCAGCTCAGCATAGCCAGTACGGCATCTCAGAGCAACAGCAGGGAACAGCAGCGGTGGTGGCAATAGCAGCAGGAACGGTGGAGGCAGCAAAGGCAGTTCCCCCTCCCGACTCGCGCCCTTTCCCCTTCACTTGAACCCTGCCACCCGGCCAGGCCAGAGATCTCCCACAGCCTCCTGTACACAGGCCTACAACGATCTAGACCAGTGTAAGATTTTTTGACTAGTAGCAGCTCTATGGTTTAAGAGTAAATCAATAACCTCCCTCTGTGCTTATTATTCCAATTCCCCCTCTTTTTTATCCTTTCCCCCCAACACTAGATAGGAGAGAAAGAAAGACAGAGGAAAGAAAAAGGAATCCCTAAATGTAACTTCTCTCATTTTGTTTCCTCCCTGATCAAGACTATAACAAACCGTCATCCATTGAGCAACCAAAAACCATCACCCCACCTCTTGGGAATGAAGGCAGCCCGCTTAAAATTGCTTCCTACTGATTTGCGACATCATTTTCCTTCTGGGAGCCCCCTAAAAAAAATTGGGACATTGGTCACTTAAGAAAGCTAGCTGTAGCATTTGCTATGTAGTATATAGCACTTACATACAGTGCTGTCCAACACTGAGCAAATTCAGGGCTTAACACAAAAGTCAGCACCTGAATGTGTACTGCTCAAGACCAACCCTCAACAGACTGTGGCCACTTCCAGATCTAGAGAGACAGCTCTGAAGAAAACACAGCTCTGGGGGCAGCCATGAGAGACGTGCTCAGGGAAGAGCTTCCAGGAACAGGCTCTGAAGAGGCTTCCCTCAGGAATACTCGTGTACTTGTCCATGGAGGACTGTTTCTCCTCTGGTTTAAGATGTCTTCTCACATGAGGCTCACTTTGTTGTATCCATCCATTTTAGGCCAAGAGACCCTGGCATCAAAGCAGGAACCCAGCACAGATCACGCGGACTCCATGGTGAGAGCGAGGGCATAGATGGGTGGGGCCCTCAGCTAGGGCTCAGTGGTAAACCAACCAAGGAAGAGTAAGGACCATCATTCAGATTCTTTGGTCAAATTATGCCAGCTTTATTTTCTCTCAGGGCTATCTCCCTACAGCAGTTTTCAAGAAAATACATTGAACATAGGAGACAGTGGGGTTTGTGTAGCCCCCCACAACTGTAAGACTAGTGGGTTTTCAAGGATTAGAGGATTTCCAAAGGAGTTTTGGTTACATAGGAACTTGGCTGAACATTTCAGAAATTATTTGGCTCAATATCTAATGGTGGGGTTGGGGTGGGGGCTGGAGGTTAGGGTATAGGGTGTGGAATATGTCAAATTCCAGAAAATGAGTCAAGACCTGGCCAAATCCAAGTTCTACAGAAAGCAAGAATGAACTTATTTTGACCTTGTAACAAGATGGCTTTTAGTCTTAAGATGGAATCAGGCTGACCCATCACCCAAGCAGGATCCAAGATCTCTGCTTTGTGCTTTGCAGAGATGCTAAGGTGCTTCCTTTTTTACTTGAAAGGTAGTTTTTATCCTCACAGGTAGAGATAAGTGAATGTGAACTAAAAACATATTAAAACACGGAATGGGGCTGAGGGAAGGGCTCAGTCAGCAAAGCACCGGCACACACACACATGAAGGTCTCAGTTCAGAGCCTCAGCACCCATGTAAAAGCTGGGTGGGAGAGAGGAGGACACAGGTGGCTCTCTGGAGCTCATTGTCCAGCCAGCCTAACCAGCTGCTTAACTTAGGGACCCTGCCTCAAAAACTACAGTGGAGATGGACATGCCAGCTGGGGGATCAGGGAAAGGGTCTTGCCGCCAAGCCTGATGACCTGAGTTCAATCCCTGGACTGGGTCCTTCATTTTGTCCTCTGACCTCCACATGGTGGTCTAAAGTCTCCCCGTTCCCTACAAGTAAATGTTTTTTAAATAATGGAAAGCTGTTGAGATGGCTCAGTAGGTAAAAGTCCTTGTTGCAAGCAAGCCTCACGACCAAGTTTGATCCCAGAACCCATGTGATGGAAGGAAAAAACCAGTTCCCCCAAGTTGCCCTCTGGCCTCCACACACATATATTCACATGCATATTTAATGTTTTTTAATCTTTTAGGGTGGATGGGAAGGCTGGTCAGAAGGCTTAAGATGGTTGGTCAGTGGAGTAAGGTCCTTGCTGTGCCACCATTGCCATCTGAGTTTGGTCCCTGGAGGGACGGTGGATGAGAAGAACCCACTCCAGAGTTGTTCTTGAGCTCTGCATGTGTGCTAGGCCATGTATGCATATACAGTAATAATAGCTTTTTAAAGGTGGAAAGCAAAGATACTGGTGTCTATCTCTGAATTCCACAAGAATTTGTAACTGCATGTATGTGTGTATATGCCACAGGAATACAGAGAGAGAGGGAGAGAGACAGACAGACAGGGAAAGGGAGAAAACCCCATATAATAGAAATCTGGGGATATGGCTCAGGAGTAGAGTGCTTACCTAGTATGCTTGACATCTAAGGCTGACACATGCACGTGTGTGTACACACAAAAACTTTTGACAGGCAGAACTTTTTTTTTTTAAGATTTATTTATTTATTATATGTAAGTACACTGTAGCTGTCTTCAGACACCCATATGAGGGCATCAGATCTCATTGTAGATGGTTGTGAGCCACCATGTGGTTGCTGGGATTTGAACTCATGACCTCTAGAAGAGCAGTCAGTGCTCTTAACCGCTGAGCCATCTCTCCAGCCCGACAGGCAGAACTTGTATAGAGACCATCCGATTTCCATCTTCTGCAGGTCACCAAATCTCTTCCCTATTCCATTCTGAGAACTCCGTAATGCCAAGCCTATTTGAGTTCATAATTTCCTTTTGGTTCCTTCCCTAAAGAAGGGTAGATTATTTGGGGCTAAAGGCTCCCCATCTCTTCCCCGAGGAAGATCAGTTTTCACAGTGCCAGCCAAGACAGCCACCTCTGGCTTCCCTCCGAGTTTGCTATGACTTGGCTCCTGAGGTCTGTGCAGTAAAGAGCACACAGTAAGTTTGATAAATGTGATACCTCAAGGAAAGAGCCTGTAGTTAGAAAGCAAGCTTCTTGGGTATGTTGAGATTGCCTGGATAAATGATGGGTTACTGGAGTAGATGGAGGGAATATTACTGCTCTAGATAAAGGAGTCTGTGCCAAAGAGAAGCAGTTCCTAAGAGTAGCGCCTACTCAGAATCTGGTTCTCCTGTGGGCTGGGTTCCTCAAAGGGGACCAGTGGAGATCTTGGCATGTTCTGTCAGTGCTAAGGATATGTCATGAACAGAAAGGATGATAGCCACCGTCTAATTCATGTCTGTCTGTCTGTCTCTATGTGTCTATCTCTCTTTTTCTGTGTCTCTGTCTCTCTGTATGTGTGTCTGTGTGTCTGTGCGCGCGCGCGCGCGCGCGCGCGCGCACGCATGCGTATGCATCCTCTCCCTCTCTCTCTTCCTCCCCTTTTACTTTTGAAGTAGGGTTTCACTTCATAGTCTCCACTATCCTGGAATACACTATTAGACCAAGCTGGCTTTGAACTCAGAGACCTCTATCTGTCTGCCTCCCAAGTGTTGGAATTAAGGCTGTGCCACCACACCCAGCTCACCTCTGTGTATATTCTTTACTCTTAGCTGCTGCTAGAAACTTTGAAAGATGAACTGAAGGTTTTCAATGAAACTGCCAGGAAGCAGATGGAGGAGCTACAGGTAAGGACAGACACACCCAGGGCAGCACTGTCATCTACCACAGTTCATGAACTCGGGGAATAGTTCTTCCTAGCTTTCCTTTTTAGAGTATAGTTTGCCAAAGTGTATACACGTTCAGAATGTGAGAGGCAGAGCCCATGGAGATTAGAAGGGCATCAGATCCCTTGCAACTGAGTTACAGGCAGCTGCGGGCTGCCATGTTTAGGTACGGCAAGATGAACCTGGGTCCTCTATGCAAGAAGAGCCACTTAACTGCTGAGCCCTCGCTCTGGTTTATCCTTCCTTCCTCTTTTCTTTTTCCTCCTCCCCCAGTAGGATCTTGCTCTGTAGCCCCAGGATGATCCTCCTACCTCAGCCTCTAAAATTATTATAGATTATTATATTTATAAACAGGGATTATAAGCATGAGCCACTATGCTTGGCTTGCTTTTTATTTCTTTTTTTTAACATTTATTTTTACTGATGTATATGTGTGAATGTATGTCACGTATGTGCAGGTATCCATGGGAGACAAGGAGGACTTCAGATCCCCTGGAGCTAGAGTTACAGACAATGGTGAGGTGCCTGACACGGGTACTAAAAACTGAGCTTTAGTTGTCTGAAGGAGCAAGAGGTAGTCAACTGCAAAGACATTACATTTTAGTGTGAATGTGTGTGGGTGCAGAGTGCATACATGCCCCTGTGTGTGGGTGCAGA